TGTAAATAAGTACTGAACATTTCAGTTTGAGTTGTTTTTCTGATCCCCTGCGAATATTGTCCACGCTGGTTTAACTTCCAACGAACGACCTTCAGTTATTTTTTTGTGTGGTCGCTGTTGTATAGTGACCTAAATAAAAGTCGTGTGAACACTCAATTTATGGAGATCTATACAGATCTGGGGTCTCTTACGATACATCATATCATATTACTTCATACATTGCTTTATATACATATGGATCATAAATATCTATATAGGCGGTCTTACTGCAACTAATGCTTCTTCTATATATATTCGTTACCCCCGTTGGTGTACTATCATCCTTTGTGGATTCACTCTTTAATAAATATTTCTTAACGTAATCATAATCACTTCCAAACCAAGAACCAGTCATCATACTAATCTCCATTCTCCTTTGATAATCTTTCTCTTCTACCTGTTCAGCGTCAAAATTAGCGGAACGATCAGGAAGTAATTCTTTAGAAGTGTATAGAGTGTTATATTCCCAATCGACTAACCAATATCCAATCTTTCGCATAGCCACTTTGACAAAATCAGCAGTAACAAACAAATCATCAGATGTATGACGTTGCCATACAACCATAGCTTTGGACAAATTTAGAACATCATCGATTGATCGTGTCAGAAGTCGGGTTTGTCTAGGAGCTAATGAACATAATCTATGATTCTAACCTGAATGACCAATGAATAAATATATCGTTGAATATCAGGTTTGACATACACTTTCTGAATCAGATTTCGTAAATATAAGATGTTTTCAATATAGGTAAGATTTTCCAACGGGAATACGATATTTTTAGTTTCATATTCATGATTTGGTTCGAATACATAATTTATGGAAAACCAAAATTTTGCTTTAAGATATTGATCAATTTTCATATGATATAGTTTATTATCAAGTACTGTAATACTGGTGAATAGGCTTGGTCTATTAATGGTGTACCCTTTCAATATAACAGGTTTAGGATTATGTCTTGATTCATTAGTATCATACAAGTCAATTTTGGTGAGTAACATGTATAATATCTTTTGAAGCTCTGGTTTAACCTTTTGCATATTCTTCCATATTAAGATATTTTTCAACTCATACTCACCACCCTCTATTTCTTTCACACAACGTCGTATAAGTTCTTCTTTCATTAGAATATTCAAGTAGATCTATAACTTCTATTTGTGATTCATTAAACTTGCATACTTTTCTTAAGATACCATTCACTAACAACTTAATTAAGGTATTAACATTGCTGGTAGAGATCACAAACCTCTTCCTATCCATCAAAGATAGAGATAAGGCTGTGAATATATTATCCATCTAATGATATTGCTAACCCTAATTTGTACCCACATAGATTCTCATCTACATAGTTAAAAAAAAGTTAAAGCTTCTATAAATATATACGCTTCCCCTTTTTTATTTCTGTGGTCTCCGACATTCATAACGATTTGACATTTTTATGGGGTGTTTTTGACCGGAACTCAGGCGACATTATTACGCGTTTATTTCAATTATGTCAATCCCAGAAATCAAAACAAAGACCATATTTTGTGTACAGGAATAACAATAACCCTGTTTGTTTTTAAAAACATACACGAAAGTTTTTAAATTATAGAAAATTTTGAAGTAGGTTTTCAACGTTTTACAGCTTCATTTTCCCTTTGACAGTTATTGCGTTGTTAAGAAGTAACATTCGGGGTACATCAATTACTCAATTGTGGGTTGAATAAACATTGACTTATCATTATCATATCTTATCATATACCCTCTCCTATTTTTTTTGCTAAACGAACTAATACCAAACAATGAGTATGCAATCTTTCCCTCGCTTTTTGAGAGGACAACCATCTCCAAAGGTGCAAGACTCGGCGTTTCCTCCATTCAAGTGGAACATCGTTACAAAGGTGTTTATGAAAGAGCTGGGTTTGATGTTAATACTGAATCTGAGAGAAAGCTGTCTCCTACTGATACTAAATCATTTCATTCAACTAGATCTAATCCAAAGAAATCTTCCAATGGTATTCAATCGCCAACCGATTCAAAATCTGTTTCTCCTACTTCTATAAAACAGCAATCATTTAAATCGAATTCAGCAGAGCAATTGAACTCTAAAGTGAATCATAATCATGCTAATAATCAAATTAAGCCATTTGCGTCAGCATCATCAAATCCATATAATGCTCCAACATCAGCTAAATCTGCCACATTTGGAAACATCAAATCAATGCCATATCCAATGTCTCCGCCATTAACATCGACTCGATCATTTTCAGAGTCTCAATTACCAATGTCAAATACTTCAGCCCCATATCAAAGATCATTTAGTGAGTCTAAAGCTGTCTCGCCTACCAAGAACCAACAATTGCCAAATCCAACTCCTATTGAACCATTCAAACCATCTATATCTCATCAAAAGAACTACAAGAATCTTAGACTTAACCTTGATGATGGTCCTCAAACCGAGAATTATGAGCATGAAGGAACACAGAAGATTTATGATTCCGATAGTGAAAATGAAATGATTAACACTATCTCGCCAAAAGAAAACTCTTTTGATGAAACTAGAAACACTTCAATTGATAAATCAGAGTTCAATACCTTGAATTCTAACTCAATGACTATATAGTATCTAAAAACGTTTGAACCAACTAAGAAGCCATTACATGATATTTCTAATCAATATCAAACAAATGACAATAGCCCAATCAAGCAAAATATTCCACAAATTCAATCAAGAATTCCTCATAATAATAATAATAATAACGAGAGCTATAATGGTAATAATAGTGGCGTGAATCCTAATTACAATCCTTATCAGCAACCACAACATCATATTGCCCAAACACAAATTCCTCAACAGCAACCATATCAGATGGGTCCAGCGCAAATTCCACAACAGCAACAACAACATCAACATTATGGATTTCCTCGTATAAATACAAATCAACATATTCCACAACAGCAACCAAAACAATGGAATCAACCTTCTCAAGGAAGTAATAATTATCAAGAACGTGAGCGTCAACCAGAAATTCCTCAATTCAAAATTGATGCTCCAGAAGCAAACTTCAGTATGCCAGAAAGCAATTCTACTTACAGATTATCGAACGCATTGGATGAATTTAAGAGAGATATTCAAGCTCATAAAAATTATGTACCAAGATCTCCCTCGATCCCTAACACTCCACCTGAACTACCAGCTTCATCTCCTACAGAATTAGGTTTAACTCGTTTTGAGAAATTGGTTAGCAATCCAAAATATGGTACTGATAATGAAACACAACAACTTCCATATCCAGTGAATGAGTTATCAATTGCTCCCAGTCCCAGAGAAGCTAGATTAAGTCAGTTATCTATGGTGAGTTCTATAATATCAAAGGAATCAAACTATAGTGATGACGATGATGCTGTTGAAAAGGAGCTAAAGAGACAATTGGATATGTTGAAGCAGAATGGAGGAAGTGATTTGTTTGAAAAAGAAGAAAGCTCAATCACAGAATCATTTGATCATAATGAGGTAGATCAAGAAGCTAACATTCCACAAATTCAAATCAACAACATGGATGATATTCCTGAAACAGATGAAGCCGAAGAAGAGGAAGTTGATGAAGAAGGAACTAGAAATCAAGAGGCTGTTAATACCCAAATTAATGAAGCTAAGAGAGGTAGCGATTCTTCTAGTAATTCAGTCGATTTAGATGATATGTCCTCTACTGCTTCATACGACTCCGTGAAACCATTATCAGTTCGTCATTCAGCTAATGTTTCATTCAATACCATTGAACTTCCACCATCACCAGCTAAATTCAGAAAAGAAGTTAAATTCACTGATGTGGATAGTTTTGTTTCGCCAGTAAGAGGAAATTTCCAAAATATCAGTGAACTGCCTCTTGAAGCATCATTTCCTCAAAGTCCAACTCCTGTTAAGTCTGTTCCTACAGTGAAAATTGAAGAAGACGTCAAACCTTTAAGTCCTAAGAACCACGAAATTGAAAAGGAATTGAAGGGTCTTAATTTTGAAATTCAACAAGCTACCGAGTCTCCTTCTCAATTTATGATAAACGATAATTCGGAATTAGTCAGTAAAGATGCTATAAAATCACCTATTAATGATGCAAATGTTAATGAAGAATTAGAACAAGAGTCAAGAGAAGAAGGTCGTCATGTTGTGGTCGCTCCAGGAACTGGTCCTTGTAGATCATGTCGTAACCCAATACTATCGAACGCAAAAGGTTCACAAAAAGCAATTTATTCAAAGACAGGCGAATTATCTGGACAATGGCATAGAAGCTGTTTTCAATGTGCTTATGATGATTGTGGAATCGTGTTTTCTAAAAATGTTCAATGTTATGCCTTACACAATCAACCATATTGTTTCAGCCATTATCATCAATTGAATAATACAACTTGTGAAGGATGTGGAATTGGTATTGAAGGTGATTGTATTGAGAATGAATTAGAACAAAAATGGCATTTAAATTGTTTAACATGTCATAAATGTAATGATATGATTAACAATGATTATTTCCTTATTAATGGAAAGATCTTCTGTGAATCTGATGCCCACATATTAATTAGTAACAGCCATCAAGCTGGATTATCCAGTACAGATAAGATTGAGAAGAGAAGAACGAGATTACTCTTCCTTGATTAAATGGAAATCAAAAGTACAGCATATAAAAAGTGTATATTATTTATTTTTAAAAAAAAAATGTATTATTTATATATTCAGTAATCCCTAGATTTTATTTTATTTGGTAATTCTTCCTCTATAATTATATCCTTGTCGTTATCCTTCATTATGCTTAAATTGTGTCCCAATGGCTCTGATTGGCCGGTCAATGGTGTTTGATCGTTAACAATAACATCATCCTCATCTTGAATTATAAAATTGTCATCATCAAAATCAGCTGAATTCAATTCTATTTCACTAGTTGCACCTAACTCCAAATCATCTTCAAAATCTCCAAATATGATTCTATCATAATTCTCACTTCCCACAGGCGGGAAACCTGTTTGACTATGGCTATTGTGGTATCCTTGTAATTTACTTGGCATTTTATTATAAATAACATAAGTTGTAACACTTGCGGCCAATCCTGTTAATACAATACTTAAGAAATCAACGAATTTAGTTGCTGTGGTATTTGTTTCATCACCAAGATTCTTCAATTTATAACCCACAAATAAATGAATTAACAATTTAGGAGATGTTATCAATGATGACAAAAAGAACTTCAAACAGGAAGTTCTGGAATAGCCGCCAATGCACCATTTGATAATGAATAAGGTAATGGACATAATCTTAATAATATAAGTAAATATAATGATTTGTCTTCCTTCAAAATCTCCGCGAATGCTCTAAATATTTCTTCTTTATTGACTAACTTAATAGCATAATCATGTAACCAGTATCTTGTGAAAAGGAAAGAACATACTGATCCCAGTAATGATGCCACTGCTAACAATGGCCAACCATTTGGAAATCCATAAACCATTCCAGTTAAAATTGATAATGCAGAGAACCCAAGCAATGGTGGAAATGAAACAAAGAATACTAGCAAGAACAATATCACTCCACCATAACTTAAATCATGCCATGAGTCCGCCACATAAACCAATGCGTCTATAAAGTATTTGTGAAAAATTAACATTAGTATACCACCCATGACCCCGATACATCCTAAGATTCCGAGAAGAACCCTCTTGATAACTGATTGCTGTTGATACCAATCTAAGAATCGCTGAGCGACATCATAAAGATCCCGTACTATCCCACCTAGACGTGGAGCTGCTACATTCTCCATCGAGATTCGAGGCATAATTCGTTGATGATATGAACCTTAATGATGGGATCTATATGTATAGATTTGTTTTTATTTAGTATATTTCTTTGCGCCCTTGTGTTCAGGATGGGGATTGTATGCAGTCTATTTATTGACGGTGGGACAAAGTTGGAAGAACATAATTTTGCAACGTTTTTATTATTACGAGTTTTTTACAATGAAATCAAACGTTGAAGAATGTAGAATTTGGCTTAAATAGCTGCGATCAATTTGGTCTTAGCTGAATAAAACTATCTAACCACAATGATGGGCTAATAGGTTTTACACCCTGATGGCTTCTGCGACTTTTGTTAGGGGTACAAAGTGGTAAACTTATTTGGTGGTATTGAGAAGAAAGGAGCTTCAACAAGATACGAAAAGGTAAACAAACAATTCACACCTAACCGTTGGTAAGAAATAAACTGTTTTGGGTTAATAGATGCGAGAATTAGATTCGTATTCAAAAATACCACTGGTGTGAATTTTAGCGCAGGGTAACACATGGTAGTATAAATTTTGACATGAGGTTAGCGCAATAATTTTACAAACACATTCAGAGCAAAGTATAGATTTATTTCTATGTGACTCTTATACAGACTTAATGAATATGATAAACTATTTATATAAAATACGAGTCAATGTAGTTAAAAAAAAATTCATAGCCGTTTCAAGTCGGGTTTTCAAAAGTTGTTGCCAACTCAATTTGCGGCATTCTATACACACGTGCAACCACGTTTATGCAAGACGTAAAGAAGCGCTTGTTTGCAATTACAACATTAAAACTTTCAATTATAGCAACAATGGCGATCTAAACCTTCAACCGTTTCAAATCAAAACAAAATTTCAAATCTACGTTTGTTTCCCCTTTTTGAATTGACTTCTACACGTTGTAAAATAAACTATTGCAGGCGGTTGTTCGCATGGTTTGGCGGCTTCCTTGCCGTAACTGTGATAATATTTCCAATTTGCCCACTTTTTGTAATTCTTCATAAAACGTCTCTGTTCACCATAGACAACAATGAATAACCCGCATGCAAATCAATATGAGCCTAATTCTTGAAACTGTAAAGGGACTACCCGTACGCATTTGGCGTCTATGGTTGCCTATTTGAATAGGAATTAGAAAATATTTTCTAACTCCACTTAAAAATAGTTCACATCTTTTCAGAAGCTATGATTGACATTAGATCCCACCTCTAAACCACAAATGTATATGTATATATAAAATAGTGGGGCTTTCCCCATAGAATGGTGAAAAAATTTTAAACAGTTAAGTCAATCTCACTAAGTCCAATTCCAATTGCAATGTTATATTTAGCAGTTTTATATCTTATTGCGACTGTTCTCGCAACATCTCCTACTGATGGATATGCTCCAGGATATGTTCAATGTCCTTCTAATTCCAAATTAACTAGAGATGCTACTGGACTTTCTTCAAGTGAATCCAGTTGGGTTCAAAGTAGAAAAGAAATTACCAATGCTGCTTTATCTACTTTCCTTACCAATGCTAATTTAACTGATTTTGACGTTGATAGTTTCTTAAGTTCTAATTCTCCAACTATTGGTTTAGCTTTCAGTGGTGGTGGTTACAGAGCTATGTTAACTGGTGCTGGTGAATTGGCTGCTTTAGATTCAAGAACTAACAGTGCCAATAGTGGTTTAAAGGGTTTATTACAATCTTCCACTTATCTTGCTGGTTTATCAGGTGGTAGTTGGTTAGTTGGTTCGGTTGCTTTAAATGATTTCATTTCGGTTGATGAAATTATTTCCCAAGATACTTTATGGAATTTAAATAATTCAATCTTAGATCCTGATGGAATTGATGTTATTGGTAATACATTATATTGGACTGCAGTTTCAGCTGAAATTGCTGCTAAACAATTAGCTGGTTTCAAAGTCACTATCACTGATCCATGGGCCAGAACCTTATCTTATCAATTATTAACCAACTCCAACCCATTAGAAGGATCAGCTTTATGTTATTCTGACATTGTTAACTTGGATTCTTTCCAAAATCATCAAGCTCCATTCCCAATTGTTGTTTCTGATAGTAGAGCTCCAGGACAACTTCTTCTTGATTCCAATTCCACTATTTTTGAGTTCAATCCTTATGAATTTGGTTCTTGGGATCCTGCCTTATATCAATTCATTCCAACTCAATATATTGGATCTGATTTAGATGGTGGTGTTCCAGTTAATTCTTATGCTTGTGTTAAAGGATTTGATAATGGTGGTTTCGTTATGGGTACAAGTTCATCATTATTCAATGAAGTTATCTTAGATGTTTCTCAAGTTGATATTCCAACTTTCTTAAGTGATCTTCTTAGTACCTTTGTATTAGATCCAGTCACTGCCTTAAGTGTTGATATTGCTTATTATTCACCAAATCCATTTTATGAAAGTACTAGTGGACGTGGACCAAATATCTTTTCTGAAAATGGTACTCTTTATTTAGTTGATGGAGGTGAAGATGGTCAAAATATTCCATTAGCACCATTAATCCAACCAAATAGAAATCTTGATGTTATTTTCGCTCATGACAATTCAGCCGATACTGATGAAAACTGGCCTGATGGAACTTCTTTAGTCTCAACTTATCAAAGACAATTCTTACCTATTGGTAATGGTACTCATTTCCCATATGTTCCAGATCAAAATACTTTCCTTAACTTAAACTTAACTTCCAAACCAACATTCTTTGGTTGTGATGCCCAGAACTTATCCAGTTTAACCGACAATTATCTTGATGTTCCATTAGTAGTTTATATTGCCAACAGACCATTTTCTTATTGGACTAATACCTCAACTTATAAGATGGCTTATAGTTATGAAGAAAAAATAGGTATGATTCAAAATGGTTATGAAATTGAAACCAGATTAAACACCACCCTAGATGAAGAATGGGCAGCTTGTGTTGGATGTGCTATTATTAGAAGATCCCAAGAAAGAGCCGGTACCGAACAATCAGAACAATGTCAACAATGTTTTGCTCAATATTGTTGGAATGGAGATATTTACACTGGTGACGCACTCGGTGAAAACTATTCCAATGATGGTTTAACTTCTGGAACTGAATATTATAACTCTACCAATGTGGCTGGTATCAGTGATGGAGGTCTCGATTTATTCAAAAAGAAGAGATCAACCATCAACTAATTAGAATTTTAGATTTGGGTTATGAATGATTTTTTGATTGTTTTTTTGCAGCAAAAATGAAAAAAAATATATAATAAACAATTTAGAGTAGAGAGAAAATAAAAGTTTTAAAAATGAAAAATTGGTCTTTTTTTTACATCGTTAAACATACCAAAAATAAATATGATTTTAGAGTTTTGAATAAATGATTTTGAATTTATTAATTATGTATTTCTATTAGTATATACCTTAAAAGAGTTTGTAAGTGTAACAATTATTAAATTAGTAAAAAAAAATAGTGACTATTTTTAAGAGAGAAAAAGAACACAAACTGTATTGTACAAAAGATAAAATATCACCAGTGATTGATTTAACTCTTTGATAATAAAGCAGGGAAATCATCAACGCTGGCCCCTTCATAGATTACTTGATAAGTAGCTTCGAATAATGGGAATTCATGAACTAAATCGAAATGAACTAATAATTTATGCACTTCTTTAGCAGTTAATATACCTTGAGAACTTTGGCCATTTAATAACACTTTTTCAGCTTCAAAAGCACCAACATTATGTTTTATCATATATCTGGCAACTTTAGCATTTCTACCTCCGGAGCAAGTGGTGATTAAATCAGCCACACCAGCACTTTCTTCAGTAAAAGTGGAATGTCTTGGAGGAGCTTCACCTTTAATACCGAATTTTTCCCAATAAGAAGCAAAATGAATGATTTCTTTAATACCAATTCTCATGATTGCAGCACGAGCATTTGAACCCCAACCTGCACCATCAACGAAACCTACGGCACAAGCAACGACATTTTTTAAAGCTCCAGCAATAGAAGCACCCACCACATCTTTAATGACAGCGACATGGAAATAAGGTCTATGGAAAGCTTGTCTTAAGATAAAACTATCGATATCTTTACCTTCACCTCTGAAATCAGCTGGTTTTAAATAAGCAATTGAAGTTTCAGACCATCTTTCTCTGGCCACTTCATCAGCAATATTAGCCCCTGATAAAACACCACAATACATTCCTAAAGTATCAGTAATGGATTGAGATAATAATTTACAACCATGAGCTCCGACATGTAAACCTTTAAGACATGAGATTGCTCTAACGTCTTTTGAAACGTGACCATCTAATTGTTTACAAATATTTGGTAAGAATTGATGAGGAACATTAAAGACAATTAAATCAGCATCTTTAACGGTTGAAACTAAATCAGGATTAGCAATTAAATTTTCAGGTAATTTAACACCTTGTAAATATTTAACATTTTCATGTTCAGTATTTATAATTTCAGTTAATTTTTTACCATCAAGTTCTTCTTCAAATACCCACATTTGAACATTCTTTTCGAATATTTCAGGTTTTTCTCTAGTATTTTCAGCAACAATCTTTGCAATACAAGTACCCCCAATTACCAGAACCAATAATGGCGATTCTGAAAGGTTTTTCGATTTTATATGGAATAGTACCGGTAGTCATGATGTGATATATGTATTATGTATGATTTGATATGATATGATATGATATTATATGATATGATATTATCTATGATATATACGATTTTATTAAGTATATGTGTAGTAATCTATTATTAAGATTTATGAATAAGGATTATGAATATTTTAGAAAACGGATTAAATTTATAATTGAGAGGAAACAAGAACGTAACCAAAAGTGGAAAGCAATTAGAATATATATACTTATATATAAATCAATAAATCAACAACAATAATTAAAAGTTTAAAAAAGAAATTTTTAATTTGTGTTACCTTTAATTAATATGGTTAAATTTTAGAACTCCGTATCACTTTTGATGAATGGTGTTGGTGTAAATTGTTTTAGGGGTGGGCATACCTTGTTATGTGCAGGTGGTAAGATGGGCATCGACAATACATAAAATTAATTAACTATAGAGCTATTTTAATTTTTATTTTTATTTTTATTTTTTTTATTACTAGTTACGGCTTAATATTTACATTGTATATAGTATCTTTTCAACTGTGTTATGATGTAAGACATATCTATGTCTGTGTAATGATAACTGAAAAGTGTTTAACTACTTACTTACCTCCTCGCACTGTGTATCCCTTTTAAGCCCAACAAAATATTTCAAATAATAAAAATAAAATATAACCACTATCAGTCATTTGTTAAATTTTAACCCCTCTATCTATAAAATAGACTTCTATACATGGTGATGGTAAGTCTAAATAGTAGGAGCAGCAGAATTATTATTATTAGTAGTGGTGGCATTTAAAATCTTTACATCTACGAACGAAAGGGGTCACCATATGCTTCTCTCCTCTCTCACACTATAATTAAAAATAATAAAAAAAAAAAGAAATTCTGTCTCAATTTCAGAAACCGTAATTAGCCGACTCACTGTGAGTCTCTCTCCCTAACTAACTCTCCCTAACTCTCCCTAACAACTAATAACACAAAGTTCTATTACACACAAATGACGTAGATGTTTATATATTGGAACTTGTTTATGTATGAACGCATATATTTATGTATAGGTTTTGATAACTTTATTGCTACCATGTTATTATTATCGTTTTACTCGTCTATTGTTTCATCAAACTATTGATAACAAATCTTGGATTAATTAATTAATTAGTAAGGAGGAAAAGTTTTTCCGATTTATATGTATATCTATCTCCCTCTTTGTCCTACTTGTTCATTAGTAACCGTTGAATTATCTGTAATTAGTCGTACTATGACGTGTGGTCTACTATTGCTTGTTCGGACCTACAGCTTTATCTATATAACCAATCAAAGTTATCTTTGTTCACTTATCCGCTTCTTAATCGGTTTAAAACTAAAGTGGACCGTTATGAGAATAACTAATCATTCTTTTCCCTCACTATGCCACTTATGTTTTTTTTTTTTTTTCTTTTCTTTTACTGAGCTCTCAGTAAAATTTTTGCATCTATCGTGATGGATCTCATTATTTTTTTTTCTTTTTTCTCCCTGCAGATTTCTCTCACTAAAAATTAGAGAGCAATGCCTACAGGTGATGATCTATAACGCTATTGCTGCAACACTTTTAAATTAGTTTGTTTAAAGTGACTATTCATTACTCGTATTGTATTGTAACATGTTTCAATACATTGCTATATCATCAAAGAACAGTATCATCTCTGAATGAACAAAGAATGATCTATCACTAATAGACCCCTACTAATTCAAACAACTCACTATTTTACCTTACTAATGCAAAACTAGTTTTAGTTACTTTATTGAATTGGTTATAACCAAAAGATAGAACGCATTTATGACTCATAATCAAAATGAACGTTACATCAAATAACAACTACCAACTAATCTCATAATTAATATGCCAAGTCTAATAATCTTAACTTAATTTAGCTTAGCTTAGCGTATCGGAAAAACTACTAAGATGTATCTCGCGCGTAACGTTTTCACTATGCAATTAATTGGTCTAACTACTACAAATAATTAAAGAATTTTCTTATTTAATTTGAAAACGTATACTAAATAAATACATAACCCGATTTCTTAAATCTATATACCTTCATCTACTCTAAAATACAAACAATTAACTCGTTTAATGAAAATCATCATCATGTCTATAATCATCATAAACCTCTTGCCATTTATCAGTCAAGATACTTCTTTTAACTCTTCTATTATTTACCGTAGTTGGTACACTATCAAAATCTTCCATCCAATCATGCATTTGTACTTGGCCTCCACTCACCACTTTAGCAGCACTAAATGGATCTAAAATCCCTCCTAATTCTCCATCTTTGATATGAGCTAAGGGATCAGGTAAATGATTCACTTCTGGTCTTAAATCGTGTTGAGGTTGTTGTTGTTGTTGGATTGGAGCTACTGGGATTGGAATATCATGCGGTGGTTCATGATAATGGATATTTCCATTTTCAGTCTTAATGTCCTTTAATGGATCGCTTAAATATTGACGGATATCTTCACCATTAGTAGAATTAACTAATTTATCTCCCGATAATTCAACTTGTCTATTTGATATCGAACTCATTAATTTTAAAAAGTTGGAATTTTCAAATTTAGATTTAGTCTCTTGAGTAGACGTAGCACTTTGCATCGAATGTTGAACTTGTCTTGCTGTCTCTGCAAACCGTTCTTTATCACTATCATCAACTGTTTTCAACTCCTCATCTTGTGCTGGTTCTTGATCTTGTAATTCCTTCTCAAGCATATCAAATTCATTATCGAAATGTTTACTTTCTTGTTGCATTTTATGTAATTCTTGATGTTCACTAACTTGAGGTTGAACTTGTTGATGTTGTTGTTGTGCAAACAAAGGTGAATTTCTCATAGCTAATCCATTGGCATAATTTGGCATAAATTGTTGATTCTGTTGTTGGGGTTGTTGAAATTGTACTTGACTATTATCCTGTTGCAAGAACTGTTGATTCCAATCAGATCTGACGTTTGGCTGTTGGTGTTGTTGTTGGGCAGGATGATGTTGATGTATTGGACCTTGAGGTTGATTGATAGCTAAATTAGAGAAATCATTCACCCAGTTCCCATTATGAAGTTGTGGTTGTTGTTGAATATTTTGTTGAGGGATTTGAGGTTTAAACTGACTAGCAAAACTACTAGCGAAATCATTTCCATTATTAAACTGTTGGAATTCAGAATTTAATCTAGTATCAACTATATTTCCATTGGTTCTAAAACTACCAATATTATTTCTCTGTTGATTATTTCTTAACGCAGCTTCATTTTGTAAACTATTATCTCTTTGAGCATGTTTGGATAAGTTCGTTATCGCATTCGAAGGTCCACAACTTGCATCCATCTTCGATATACTTCTTCTTATTCAAATCAGTTCAAAAAGAAATAAATGATAAATTTTTGATGATTAATTCTACTGTGAATCATCATGTCACTGATAACTTTTTTTTCCCACTTTTTACGGGGAAAAATATTCCTCGGTATTGATACCAAAGGTAGTGCATATAGCACGTCCCAATTAGGTTAAAAATTGCAGATATAGTATGTATCTATTAAACCTATAAATCAATCATTAAAAACACTACTATGTATTATATAAATATACCTTTTCTTTTTTTAATATTCCCTTAATTATCCTTGTTTACCAATTATTCATAACTTTGTATACGTCACACTATCAAAGTATTCATCATAAGTTTCACCTAAAAATTCATGAATATTAGAAGTTTGCATAGCTCTTTTATACTTTTTAAATGCTTTTTTACTAGCGGTTCTAACCAAAGTACATGCTGTAAAACAAGCCAAAAGATTAGCTTCTTCATTAGTTAATCTTTCCTTTGAAGCTGGATCAAAATCCCATACTTTTTTATTATAATTATTCGACCAATTGATTATGGTAGCTAAAGCTCCCGTTAAGGTATCACCTTGACCTCCAACTCTTTTCGATGAACCTTCCATATCATTGATTAAATATTCATTCTTATGAACAATTAATTCTTGTTTCCCCTTTCTAATGATGGTTACATTACCTAATTTTTTCGATAATTCAATGGTTTCTTCAATTAATTTTTCTAAATTATCTTCATCAATTTTTGATTTGATTTTCAAAGCTTTTGCAATCCTATCAAATTCAACCACATTAGGAGTCAAATATGCATTAGTATAGTTCTTAATAAGTGATGGACTAACTGAAATTAAGTACAATGCATCCGCATCCAATACAATTGGTTTATTTAATACTTTGATTTCTTCAATTATTCGACTCAATGATTTTAACATTAATGGATCTCTACCGAATCCCGGACCAATCACAACAATATCCGATCTTTCTAATAGTAATTGCACTTTAGGTAAGATTTTATCATCAATGATAGTATTTAATTTAGGTTGATTTGATTCAATCAATTCTTGAATGGGGATTTTTGAAATCTTACTAATTTCTTCTTTACTCAATTGAATATCGGGATTATTTAAATCAAAAAGATAAGGATGAATCATTAAATCAGGAGAATACAGTTTAATAACTGGAGCTGCTAATTTCTCACATATAACATGAGATAAATCAGCTCCAATTAAAGCAGCTGAATGACTTGAGAAAAACGGAGCTCCCGTATAATCTTCACATCCACCAATTACAACCACTCTTCCAGCTTGTCCCTTATGGAAGTTGGGTAATAATGGTTGAATCAATTGTTTTGACAATTGAATCAATTCCTTTTGAGTTTTATTCCTTAACATGTTTCAATATTGATAATCGATATAAGGATATCTGTGGTGTGATATAACTATCATATTATATATTTAACTGTGGCAATTTAAAGTAATAGGGAAATGAGGGTGCTTATATGCAGGCAACTTGTGGGTACATTTCACCAATCAATTATGGGTGCGCTCCCCCATGAAAATTACCAATTTTCAAATAATATACCGAAATCCAACAAAATTTTGATTTATAAGTTGCTTTTCATCCCTTTATTCTTTTTAATTGTTTTCTTATTCTTTTGGTATAGTTTTATTATTTATATTATCAATTATTCAACTATGTCATCAATTGGTCAAAGATTCTCTAGATTAGCATCTA